TCAAACCATTGTAAGAATAATACTCAAGGGGCGCCTGGGTGGCTCAAGTCGGTAAGCGCCTGACTTCGGCTCAGGTCATGATCTTGTGGTCTGTGAGTTCGAGCCCCGCGTCGGGCTCTGTGCTGACAGCTCAGAGCCTGGAGTCTGTTTCAGATTCTGTGTCTCCCTCTCTCTCTGACCCTCCCCCGTTCATGCTCTGTCTCTCCCTGTCTCAAAAATAAATAAACATTAAAAAAATTAAAAAAAAAAAGAATAATACTCAAATTTCAAATCAAGTTCAAATTAAGATGTAACTTTATTAGTGAATAACTGATTTTTTTAATTCTTTGAAAAAACTTATTAATGCTTATTTTTGAGAGAGAGAGAGAGAGAGAGAGAGAGAGAATGTGAGTGGGGAAGGGGCAGAGAAAGAGGGAGACACAGAATCAGAAGCAGGCTCCAGGCTCTGAGCTGTCAGCACAGAGCCCGACCCAGGACTCGAACCCACGAACCATGAGATCATGACCTGAGCCAAAGTCGGATGCTCCACTGACTGAGACACCCAGGGGCCCCTCATTCTCTCTCTCTTTTTTTGAAATGTTTGTTTGTTTGTTTGTTTGTTTATTTTGAGATGGAGGGAGAGAAGGGGTGTGCAGAGAAGGGGCAGAGAGAGAAGGAGAGAGAGAATCCCAAGTAGTCTCCACGCTGTCAGCACAGAGCCGGGGCTTGATCTCACAAACTGTGATATCATGACCTGAGCCAAAATCAAGAGTTGGATGCTCAGCCAACAGCCACCCAGGTGCTCCCCCCAAAATTTTTCCCTTTTTAAAACACTTCTGAAAAAGTATTTAACCCAGTCACCTAAGTTTCAAGAGCTGGTAAACTGTCTCCATGTATCAGTATCATTCATTCATTGGTATGCTTTAACTACATAGCAAGTTAAATAAAAAATGTGATAGTATCAATAACTAAGAACTTCATATCATTTATTTATTTATTTACTTATTTTGCACAAATAGTATATGCTTTTTATTATGGTAAAACACATTATATGAAATCTGTTCTCTCAATAAACGTTTAAGTGTTCAGTACAGTATTGTTAACTCTATGTATATTGTTGTACAGCAGATCTCTCAAATCTCCTCATCCTGCATGACTAAAACTCAATCCCCACAGGACAACAATTCCTCATTTCTTTCCCTCCCCACACCCCTCCCCCACCAGCCACTGACAGCCACCATTCTATTTTCCACTTCTATGAGTTTGACTAATTTACATACCTCACATAAGTGGAATCATGCAGTATTTGTCCTTCTGTAAGTGGCTTATTTCACTTAGCATAATGTCCCCTCAAGGTTCATCCATGTTGTATAGTATGATAGGATGTCCTTCTTTTTAGTTGAGAGCCTCATATAATTTAATTGCTTCCACTGCATTTTTGTACATTGACTAAGTAGTTTGAAATTTTGCAACATTCTATCTCTATCAAGAACAGTAGCCCAATCACCTGTAACTGAAGATTTCCCTACCAATTAATCAGATTTTATTTGATGACAATGCTAGAGCACTGGAGGTATCACTTTGTGGTTAAGATAGCTCCCAGGACTTAACTGCACGGCAATACCTTCAGTGCCCTGGCATTGCCACCAAATAAAACTGGTTAATCAGTACAGGGATCTGAGTTTGCAGGTGATGGGGCTGCTATTCTTGATCAAGAGCTGCAGTAGAAAGCAGAATGCAGCGAATAACCAATAGTGGATGTTAGGGACTGAGCACAGTCCCATGCCTCTAAGTGCAGTACATGTCTAGCCTTGGTGGCTGTATTTTCCATAATGCCTTTCCCCCCTTTTTTTTTTACAGATAATAACAGACTTTGATATGACACTGAGTAGATTTTCCTATGAAGGCAAAAGATGCCCAACATGTCATTGTAAGTGTGGCGTTCATAAACAAATTTCATGAAAGTGATTCCGTTTTCAGATCCACTCTTATCTGTATTATCTATGAGATTGACTGCGGTTTGCTCTTCTTTTTGGACGTTGAAAATAAGAGGACCTGCCTTTTTCTTCTTATATTTCGAGGGTTTGTTTTCCCCCATGTTATATAAATGGGTATTATCACGTATGGTTTTGGTTACAAAAGGAATGAAGACTTCTGAAATTTTTCTCCAAATGTGGTCTGTTCATTATTTAATCAACAAATATTTAAATGGACTTTAAACTTTGGATTAACCTAATATTTCTTAGAAATAGCATTTTTATCAACTACTGTTTTCTAAGAATGTCACTGAATTTTTGCAGTGTTGATTTATAAATTAAGTAAAAGAGTGACTAAATAAATATCAAGTTGTGTGTTTTCCAAACTTGGCAGTCAGTGTTAAAAATAATCCTCTTCAACCTGACAAGCAGTGATACAAGTCCTCTCATTTATTGGCGCTGCATGTGTAGTTTGAGAAATTGTTTTGATAATTTATATTAAAACCACTAGAAATCATACCCTTTGGCCCACCGATTCTTGGAAAATTTTTAATGAAGTCCTTCTAAATGTAGGAAAAAAGCTTTAGATCCAAGGTTTGGATTTTAAAGCCATTGGATCCTCTAGCAATGTCACTGTTTGGATTTTAAAGCCATCAGATTCTCTAGCAATGTCACTTGTACCATAGCACTAAGACCAGAAGTTGTAATGACCATGCTAGTGGACTTGGCATTTAAACTTAAAAGTAGTGAGTTATTTAAAGTAGTGGTAGCATCAATCAGAATATTTCTTTTAATGCTAGTTTGCTTTCACTCTTCAGATGTCATTGACAACAGTAAGCTGGTTACAGATGAATGTCGGAAAAAGGTAAACACTAACAGTAATCCAGAGTTACTCAAAGACTTCATTAGCCTTTTTGCCTGAGAAGTTCTTCAGGTTCATTCACACAAACAATGGATATAAAGTGCTTATCACCGTACCTGGCACATAGTAAACACTGAATAAATATTAGTTTTATTGTGTGGATTATACATACTCAACATTATTTTAAAGAAAAAATTAACTTTTTAACAAAGACAATAAAATTAACATGAGAAACTTTTAGTTGATTATCAAAATATTCTGATGTCCTTACATTAAGTGTACATTAAAACAAAAGTACTTTGATTTTGTGTAGATATTGCTCCTTTATTTATTTTTTTAAGTTTATTTATTTATTTTGAGAGAGAGAAAGAGAGAGAAGGGGAAAGACAGAGAGAGAGAGAGAGAGAGAGAATCCCAAGCAGACTCCTCACTGTGAGCACAGAGCCCAATGTGGGGCTTGGTCCCACAAAATGTGAAATCATGTCCTGAGCCAAAATAAAGAGTCAGATGCTTAACCAACTGAGCCACCCAGGCACCCCAGTTTTGCTCCTTTAAATTAATCAGGAAACTGCCTCAGTCCTCTGCTTTCCTTGAGTATGTGTCTATCTGTATCTGTGTTAACAAAATAGGACTGCAGGTGTGAATCAAATTTAATACTTTGATATGAGAACAGAAGCTTTTTTGTAGTAATAATTTGATTATTAGTCGATTTCACTGAATTGCTGACCTGAAAGTACTTAAAAAAAGAAAGGTAGTTTTTTGCAGGTACATTTTGTTACATGTATACCAAGGTCAACAAAGATCTCCTCAGTTGATATATATATTAGCTAAGTACTCGTGATCTAATCTTTAACAGCCATTTATGGCAAACATTTGTTGACATTGTTTTGCTTTCTATAAAACTATGCAATTTAATGACAACTCTGTCATCTTCATAATTAAGTTATTCATTTGTTTCTAGTTAATGCAACTAAAGGAAAAATATTATGCTATTGAAATTGATCCTGTTCTTACCATGGAAGAGAAGTACCCCTATATGGTAGAATGGTAAGTATGTATCGGGTAAGGGGAGGGTTAAAAATATAATAACATAACACTGCAGTTACAACTAATGGCTTATTTTTTTCCCTATGCTGTATATTAATAGATTCATAAATTATCTAAGGAGTTATAGCAGTGAATAAATACAACAAAATGAACCTGATTTTCTAATCACTCAGTGTAGAATTTGCTTTGTTCTGTTTGTTTGTTTTTTAATGGACAAAATGTGGGCTGCATGTGTAAAGAAAAAGAATTGGGATTTCAATTGACTCTGAACTCATTTGGAGCCAGCAGGTGACATAGTTGGTAAGAAATGGGCCTCTTGATGTTGGCTGTGTTCATGGAAATGGAGCCTTCCAAGCTGACCACACAGAAAGCATTGTGTTGAGTCCTGAGAGAATGCTGTTAAGAGAAATGTTGACAAACTTCGAGTGTGTCAGATGGGTCCACTAAGAAAATCACAGGAACTGGAGCCATCCCATTTGGGAAAGATTTCACTGAAGAGAGAAAGCTGTGATTTGAGAAGCAACAACTGTGGTTTTTGAATCTTAAGAGGACAGGAGTGATGTTCTTTATCTTCATTATCCTATGACCTAAACTGAATGCCTTGTACACTTAATCAATGTTTATGGTACAAAATGTTGAAAAGTTGGACCTCTGTGGAAGCAGAACTGCAAGCAGACTTAGAAGGTTTAAGAAGACCAATTTCAGCCTGATGAAAGAAAGGACTACCTAGTAATTAGAATTTTCTAGCAATGATATAAGCTTCCCTGGAAGAATGAGCTCACCAACGTGATGGGAGCTGATCCAGAGTGGGGGGGTCCCTTAGGAATATTGCACGATGATACTGGGTATCAGGTGGAGAGGTTCTAAAGGCCTGTTATGGAGATGCTTTGATTATAGGTACTTTGATATAATTTTAAATCATGTGTTTATCAAACTTGTCAAAACAAGGGTTTTCTCTCTTGTGTGCTAGAGAGCATCTTTAGTACTGAGGCATTTCACAACAATTTAGACTACAAAGAGGTGAAACAAATGGCTTTGCACTAATTCTCATAATTGGAGAATGCCTCTCTCAGTTGGATTTAGTTATTTGAAGACTAAGGAAAGGTGTACACGTAGTAGCTTTTCATTGTCTTATTAACACATTTAAACTAAAACTTTGGGGCGAACTGGGAAATACAGTATATTGGTATATTGATTTGAGAACCATAAGGTATATGCTTATTAGTGATGAATTTAAATTTCTAAAATTTAAGTCCAGAATATGATGAATGAAATACTGCATTATCTGTCACTGAAAAATGCCTTTTAATAAAGATGATGGTTTTGATTTGGTTTAATCAATATTCTTTTTCTTTGGTCATGAACTCCAGGTATACTAAAGCACATGGCTTGCTTATTGAACAGGCTTTACCAAAAGCTAAACTTAAAGAAATCGTGGCAGAATCTGATGTTATGCTCAAGTAAGTTTCTAGAGTGTTTTTTGCTGTTAACTGTCTACAGACTTACATATGTACTCAAGTGTATATTTATATTAAAATAATCTATATTACTTATAAAAATGTAGCCAAAATATGCCACCTATCACAAAATAATGATAAGATGGGGAATTTAGAATGATATATTAGATCTTGGTGTAGGAAGTAAGAGCCTTAGGAGATTTAAGTTCTAATCTACATTTCCTTTCTCTACATTAAAAATTTCAAGACTTGGGGTGCCTGGCTGGCTCAGTGGGAAGAATGTGCGACTCCTGATCTTGGGGTTGTGAGTTCAAGCCCCCTGTTGGGTGTAGAGATTACTTAAATAAAAAATACTTCAAAAATATTTTTTTTAAGACTAACTTAGAAATTTATGAAACCAGGACCATTGTAGAGTTTTTTAGCAAAATTCTTTTGAAAGACATAAAATATAAAAGGAACATTTATAAATCAAGTTGAAAAGAAATTTTTTGCTCATACCCTGTTTATAAAGTTATATGAATCTACTTTCTGAATTCTCAAATTTCCTTGAAAACTATCTCTAGGAAAGGTGAACATGATTTAGCAAATGATAAAAATATTTGTATTACATGAATGATAAGATAGAAACATTTTTAAGCTTCTTTTCAATACTGTTTACCACCTCTAAAAATTTTCAACTTATTAGGTAAATATGATGATGTCGTGGGGGTTTTTTTGTTTCGTTTTTTAATGACCTACATTTTAAGGTGACCTACTTTTTTTGTCAGTTATTTATTTTGAGAGAGAGGGTGCGCACACAGTCAAGTGGGGAGGGGGCAGAGAGAGAGAGAGAGAGAGAGACAGACAGACAGAATCCCAAGCAGGCTCTGTGCTGTCAGCATGGAGCCCTTGCAAAGCTCCATCCCTTAAACTGTGAGATCATGACCTGAGCTGAAAATAAGAGTCAGGTGCTCAGGATGTTCAACCGACTAACTGAGCCACCCAGGCATGCCTCTAAGGTGATCTACCTCTAAGGAGGAAGGTATTAAATGTCGGAAAGAGTGTGAAGACAGCTAGTAAGCATTTCATTCCTTTGTAGGCAGCTTAACATATAGCCCAGGAAGAGTAAGGGAAGAAACTTAGATTAATAAGTTAAAAACATTACCTACAGCCACGCCTTAAGCAGGAGAGATGCCAGTTGTAAAGAGAATACATTCAGTTCCTGCCCCTCCGCTTTCCTGAGAGGAAATAGTTGAGCAGGATGGCAAGCGGGAAGTGTTTCAGCCCATTTCTCAATGGGTTTTCCAGGGTGTGCTTTTTTCCAGTTGTGGTTAATTATTTGCTGTTAAATGGTATACATTGTGAACTGTAGGCTTATGTCCATATTTAATGAGAGTCTAAAATCATCTAATTTGTATTATTAGAATTTATTAAAAGCAAGGCAAAGAGTGAACTATTTGGAAAAACTTGTACTAAAATTGTCATATACATCAGTAACCCTGCTCTGAGGCAGGATTCTGGAAAGGGAATATAAATGGGCCATGGAATTAGGTAGAAATGTTTTGCTTTTTTCATTTCTAGGTGAAAGGATATATATCTATGTCTTGCTTTTTAACAATCAATTCCTACCTCCATCTTGCAGGGAAGGGTATGAGAATTTCTTTGATAAGCTCCAACAATACGGTATCCCTGTGTTCATATTTTCGGCTGGTATCGGTGATATACTAGAGGAGGTGATCCATCAAGCTGGCGTTTATCACCCAAACATCACAGTAGTGTCCAATTTCATGGATTTTGATGACAATGTAAGAACATTTTTCATAATTACTTTTTAAATCTGAATATATCATTCTAAATAATTCTTCATAATTATTTTCTTCATAAGTAATTTTTCTTCATAATTACTTTTAAAATCTGAATATATTTTAATCATGTAAATGCAGTTGGTTTTTATTATTTAAGGTATATTACTTTATATATACATATATATATATAAAACATATATAATATATAACGTATATTAAATTAGGTCAGGTCAATAGGCCTACTGTGGGGCTCATCTCCCAGTGTTCTATCTGTATCCATGTTTTAAAAATAATATGCCTTTCTTAAACTTTTGTTTCCCAACCTATAGACTAATATTAAAATTAGGAAAAGTTCTTTTAATGTAACTCAGTGCAGCAACTCTGAAGACTTAATACCCATAGGTGGAACAAAAGAAGTAAATTAGAACTGACTTTATTTGAATAAATTTTTCAATTCAAGACAATATATTGTGAAGTACTTAAAATGGGACCTCTGGTTAGGAAACAAATGAAAAGTTAAATTGGATGTTCAGCTCACTGTGTTTAACATTTAAAGTACTCTCTAGAAAGTCATTAACTTCTCAGAGCCCTTCTTACCTATCATGAATGTGAAAATAGAACAAACAGAATTTGCAGTTTGGAACCTACTGTTTCAAAGGATTTATGTTTTTATAGGGGGTGCTCAAAGGATTTAAAGGCGAACTAATTCATGTATTTAACAAACATGATGGTGCCTTGAAGAACACAGACTATTTCAATCGGCTAAAAGATAATAGCAATATAATTCTGCTGGGAGATTCCCAAGGAGATATAAGAATGGCAGATGGAGTAGCCAATGTTGAACACATCCTGAAAATTGGATATCTAAATGATAGAGTAAGTATACAGGTCTGTCATTTAATTTTCTTATAAGAAAAAATAAGGATGGAACTTAATAGGCAATTGTTACTAAAGGTACATGCAAAAGGAGTTAGACACAATTTGATTGCTCTTTATCCTTTTACTTTGGTGTGATTAAGGGAATTGGGATGTACATCTGTATGCCATCGGTATTAGGGTGGCTTCTCTGGCCTCTCCTACCAGAAACCTTAGCACCCCCAAGTCATGAAAGTCAAAAATGTCCCCAGCATTGCCAGAGAGTTGCTTGGGCAGTCTCCCCAGTTGAGAGCCACTGGACTAGAGAGAAGTGACTTTGGGAGTAAAGCCACCCTGTGGCTATGTTCATAAGTCTTCATTTCAAAAGTCTTATGAAAGTAAATTTGATTTACTTCATTTTAGCCCAAAAGATCGAATGTAATAATGAGATCCACACTGAAACAATTTACTTCTCCTCCCTGTATATCCTTTTAATTTTTCTGTTGTTGTTGATTAGGTGGATGAGCTTTTAGAAAAGTACATGGACTCTTACGATATAGTTCTAGTAAAAGACGAATCACTGGACGTAGCCAACTCTATCTTACAGAAGATTCTATAAACAAGCATTCTTCAAGAAGACCTCTGTGCTGTGGGTGCAATTGATGCAGGAACTGCTCACCTGTTCATCTTGCTGAAAGACTTCTATTTATAATACATTCTTGCTCTTGAAGTTTTTTCTCTACGTTACTGAGGTATTTTCAGACATATTGAATCCATCAACTGGAAACTCCTTTTTTCCTCACCTCTCTCAACACACTCCTCAACTATATTTTTTAACAGTTAAAAAAAAAAAAAAAAAAAAAAACCTTAAAGGTAAAATTTGAAAAATAACTCCATGAATTAATTTCCAGAGTGAATTTTGTAGTTTAATGTTATCATGAGGTTTTTGAGGAAACTTTTTACTCTGGGAAAAAAGTCTGTATAAGTTTAAAAAGAAGTTTTATGAAATGGTGAAATAATGTGCATGATTTTAAGTGTTGCTGTTTTTGTCATGTGGGTGAATTATGCTGATGATATCACCATCTCCTGAAATTGTATTATGTTTGGTTATTTTGTTCTTGAAAGTCAGTATTTATCAGAAAATAATGGCACTTGGTGTTTGAAAAACCATTGGTATCCACATATCACTAATCATTACAAAATGTTCTATATTGATGCACTGATAATACACATGAAATGAAAAGCCTTTTAAATTGTACTGTCAAGACCATTGTTGTTCATTTATTCAACAAATATTTATTAAGCTCTTGCAGTGTTTTTCTTGTGTGTGTATGTGAGAGAGAGAGATGAATCCTATGTCATTGTCATAGTGGCTATTTAGATTGAATATTTTTAAATTTACGTATTATAAGTTTAAGGATGAAAAGATAGTTGCAGAGAAAATTTAATCAGCCCTTCAGAAAATACTGGGGACTGGGAAAATTGTTTTCCCTCATTGAAAATATCAGTAAAAGAGGGTACTTTGTTGGAGGTCTAATAGTTTCAGAAATAGCCACAGGCAGGGAACAAAGTGGAGCTGGGTCTCATGGTAACTGAAACCGAGTACTGCTGAGTTAAACCGACATTTGTCTTTGCACTCTGACTTCCTGTTCCAAATTTCTGCTGCCCCATAAATGGTTCATACAAAGTTTAGATTTGCCATTGTGATAAATCTGACCCTGGCTCTAACCATTTCACTCCAGAGTCTCCGAGCCACTAATTCCATAAAGCATCTGAGCTCTGATACACACAGAGCGTGTTCCAGCTGGTTCCGGACACTCAGTGTGGTCGGCAATCTCTAGTCCCGTTTGATGTGGCAGGTAGGTGAGGTCTTACAATGAAAACCTTTTCCCTGGGGCTGCCCGTCCTTACCCTCCACCACTATTCCTTTTTATAATAAACAATGAAACAAAGTTTATAATGGCCAGAAGTAGACTATTCTCTGTTGAAGTATTTCCAAAATCAAACTCGAAACCAAGCTTCCTTTTTTTTTTTTTAATGTTCATTTATTTTTGAGAGGGAGGGAGAGTGCAAGTGGGGGAGGGGCAGAGAGCAAGGAAGACAGAGGATCCGAAGTGGGTTCCGCACTGACGGCAGTGAGCCTGATGCAGGGCTCAAACTCATGAACCATGAGATCATGACCTGAGCGGAAACCAAGAGTGGGACACTTAACTGACTGAGCCACCCAGGTGCCCCTCAAAACCAAGATTCTAAAAGAAAGAGAGAGAAAGAAAGAAAGGGAGAGAGGGAGGGAGGCACCCCTTGAAACCAAGATTCAGAAAGAGAAAGGAAGGAAGGAAGAAGAGAGGGAGGGAGGAAGAAGAAACCAAGCTTCTTGCTTTAAAGCAGATTAGCGTCACATGAGAGTATCAGAATTACCTGGAGGAGTTTTTCACACAGAAAAAAAGTTGGGCATTTCTGATCTAATGAGAACTTTTTATCCCATATTGCAGTTAGAGCTTGCCATATAGACTGTTTTCCAAGGAGTTTATAATATGCTTCTACAAATAAGCATAGTTCATGGTATAAATGTAAAGAATACTGAAGGTATGACCTCCATTCTAGTCTTGGTTCAGCCCTTTACTAAGACTATAGAAGTCAGGCACCTCCCCATCTAACAAAGGCCTTGAGGGCATGCAGTCTTTGTAGCCCCTTATAGCCACTATCAGGATAACTTGAATATCAAGCCAAGGCCCCTGCCTTTTCCACTGCATCCCTGGGACCCTATCACCTCTCACTGCCCCCTGTTCTACTAGTATTTGAAATAATTTGTTTTCAAGTTCCATTTTCAGAGCAGTTTAATGTAGCCAATATAGAGTCAGACTGTTGTGATTTGGATCTTCCTTCTACCACTTAGTAGCTGTGTGACCAGAACAGATTATTTAACCTGTGCCCCAGTTTGCTCATCTGTAAAGTGAAGGTAATGATACGTCCTCCAGATACATCCCTGTGAGAATGAGATGTACTCATCTACATCTTTGTATGCATTTAAATTTTGTATTTCCATTTAGAATGGCTTAGCGCAAGTATTCAGTATTGCTGGCTATTTGTCCGCAAAAGTGTGACCACAGTCTGGGTGAACTGAAGAAACAGTTATTTTGTAGCCCTAGTGAACACCGGCAGTGTGGTAACTACCACATTTTCTTAAAAGTCTAGCATTAGCTGTTAAGAGTCTTGTTTTTTGTTTTTTATTTTGAATTTTACTTTAGGAGGTAAAGCAGTTTTGAGTGCCGAGATGAACAATTTTGATGAAACCGAAAAACAAAAACTGTCAGAGATACTACTTTGTTCCAGAGTGATTTCACAGGAACTCTGCTTTCCATGATATGTTTGATAAGACCAGAGTTAATTAGGTAGATTATTGAACATTTTTTTTAACCAGACTTCAGGTTCAAGGCATACACCATGGAGAATCAGGAAATAAAAGAGGGGTGCCTGGGTGGCTCAGTCAGTTGGTTAAGCATCTGACTTCGGCTCAGGTTATGATCTCATGGTTCATGAGTTCAAGCCCCGTGTCGGGCTCTGTACTAACAGCTCACAGCCTAAAGCCTGCTTTGATTCTCTGTCTCCCTCTCTCTCTGCCCCTGCCCCACTTGCACTCTCTCGCGTTCTCTCAAAAATAAATAAATATTTTTTAAAAAGGAAGAAAAAATTTCATGGGATCTTGAATAATTTGGAGACTTATCCAAGGTTACCTCAAGATTCACCAGTCCTGCTGTGTTTTATACTTATTCTCGTATTTCAGTACAAGTTTAATAGGTAAGATAAAGTGTGGCTGAGGTGTAAAGGGTACAGGCCTTCAAATCAGTCAAACCTGGATCTGAGTCTTAGATTCTAACTACAACATTTGGTAAGTTTCTAACGTTTCAAGGCTTTGGTTTCCTCATCTCTAAAGCGGGGTATTAATTTGAGGTGAAGATTGATTCAATGAAGAGTCACTCATCCCACCAAAGATTGAAGTCCTTACTGTGGGCTAGGTTCTAGAGAAATAATTAACACACCAGACATGCTTCCTGCCCTCATGTAGCCGAAATCTGATGCTTAACCGACTGAGACACCCAGGTGCCCCTCAAACACTATTTTCATAAGCATGAAAGTGTGATATCTGCAACTAGCAATAAGTAACTGGGAGCAGTATTCTTAGTTTATAAAGAGACACCAGATCCCCAAGAAAGCCAAGGGAAAAAGACTTCAAAGAAAGCAACCTTGTTCCTAGAAACCTAAGACATTGAAGTGCTATATATAAGCACTTACGTGTAATTGTACTCAGGCCTACTCTGTTGCCAAAATGAAATGTTTTTTTCTGTCTTTTAAGTAATAATTTTGAAAGGTATTATAAATTCCTAAGTAATGAGAGATCAAAACTCACCAGGTTTCAACAAAATAATGCAGATTGCTTACGCTCGCAAGATAGCTTAAGTGGTGTTTCAAGCACACAGGTCACATGCATACTCAGATGTCATGTTCTCTGAGATACTCTAACCTCCCACTGGGCATCAATGAATGACCTACTTCATCTTTAGGGCCCAAAGTCCAAAATCTGCATGAGTCATAAGTTAGGTGATCCCAATCTACAGCAGATCCAAACTGCCTCAAGCAGCAACACAGAAAATGAGTATAAGATGTGATTGAGAAAAATGCTTTGTGGCATCCCTACCCTGTATTTGGCTCCCTAATGAGTACTCACAGTCTTGCCAACAGAGCTATAACCCTTAATCATAATGCAGATAGAAACAGGGTTGCAGCAGCATCATGAGGTGAGGCCATCTGAGCAGCTGGTTGAGCCAGAGATTAAAGCCTCTGTCATGGTCACAGATAATTGAATGCCTTCCTTAGCAGCAGGAAGAATCAAAGTGCCCCAGTAGCGCTCAACAACAAGCCAAAGGTTTAGAAAGATAAGTACTACACAGTATCATTTATATGTGGTATTAAAAAAAATAAGTTGAAGTTATAGAAATAGAGTAAAAAAAATGTTTACCAGGGGCAGGGGCATGGGAGAAACAGAGTTTGGTTAAACAGTACAAACTTCCAGCTATAAGATAAATAAGGTCTAAGGATTTAATGCATAACATGGCAACCATAGTTGGTAACCCTGTATTGTATAGTTTTAAAATGCTAAGAGTAGAACTTAAATGTTTTTTCTCTCTCTCTCTCTCTCTCTCACACACACACACACACACACACACACACGAAGTGATAGATGGAGAAATCCTTTCACAATGTAAACATGTACATATATCAAATCATCACATATGCATTAAGTATATTAAAATTTTATTTGTTCATTACACCTCAGGAAAGAGAAAAAACACAACAGGTGGCAGGCTGGAGAACCAAGAAGAGCCAATATTTCCGTCTGAGTCTGAAGGCCAAAAAAGACCAAGGTTCCAGTTCAGCAGTCAAGCAGGCAGTTTAAAAACAAAAACAAGCTACCCGGCTCCCGGGTGGCTCAGTCAGTGGAGCACAAGACTCTTGATCTCGAGGTCGTGAGTTCAAGCTACATGTTGGGTATAGAGATTACTTTTAAAAAAATTGGTTGAGGGGTGTCTGGGTGGCTCAGTTCATTAAGGGTCTTGATCTTTCGGTTTGTGAGATCAAGCCCCAAGTCAGGCTCTGTGCTGACAGCATAGAGCCTGGTTGGGATTCTCTCCCTCTCTCTCTGCCCTCCCACACTAGTGCTATCTCTCTCTTCTCTCTCTGTCTCTCAAAATAAATTTTAAAAAGTTAAAAAAAAAAATTAAATGTTCCCTCTATTCTTGAAGCTCTAAGGCCGACAGTGCTTAATTTCCCCAGAGAAGCATATCTTTTATTCAGCAAACCTGTCCACCACCAAAGAAAACAACCAGTGAAGAAATTCAGACAGGACCAACTAAAAACCTGGGACAGAATAAGCACAAGGTTTTTATCTTCATGAAGATGTGTAAGGATAATGAGGTGTTACAGATTAAGTGCATTCCAAAGGGCAATTCCATTTAGCAAAATTACTAACCTATCTCGTGCACTTAAGGAATTCTGTTAAACAAAAAATCTTGAGTGACTATGTGCCAGGTAGGAGACGGTTAAGGAATGTTAGTTACCATGACAGCAACAGCCAGGAAGGCCATGGGCAGGCATCTCCTTTGCCTTCCAAAAGCATACAGAGTCCCTGAAATTGCTCCTGCAAAGAGTAAACTGTAACATTTGCTTTTTTAAAAAAACGTATTTTTCTCTATACATGTGCCAGTTATCCTCTATGTGCTCCCACTCCAATGCCTACAGCCCTTCACCTTACTCTGCACCCCAAAAAGCTGACTCTGAGAATACCAGCCACTAAGCTCCTCTTCCTTTAGCTTCAGATTGGGTTTAGCGAATGGGAACGAGTTACAGGACAGAGAATGGGGTGTCTCTGCCCTCCTCTGCTGCAGCGCCAGCCACACTTCTGGGCGTGGCTGTGTCTCCCCTTTAACCTTTCAGCCCCAGTGGGGTAGAAGAGCCCCCTACTGCTGCTGGCCAACATCTATCATGGTACCTTGATATCCTAACTAGGTCTCTAGGCCCTGTCCACACATCTGTAAAGTCCTTTACATAGCTTCTCTTTGGAAGGCCCGTATGTGGGTGTGTTTCCTGCCAGGACCTGACTGACACACCCCCATACACTATCCGTCACACTCCTCCACCTTCAATGAGATGCAGCCCTCGTTGAGGCGATTCTCAATGGATAATCAAGACGTATTCTCATAGGATCCTCTCAGCCTTCAAATAAAACTCCACAACACTTGATATTATTCAATTTTTTTATATATGAAAAGTTCAGTTTTCCAACATTTATTCCATTGAAGGAGTGCACAGCATTTTCATGAACTATCTCAGGGCTACATCAGTACAAAACAGTTTAAATTAGTAAAAATAAAGCAGTTCAAAAGGAAAATTACTGATTACTTCAGGGTGTACGCCACCACCACTTGGGAACAGAGGACATAAGGCAGCAAGGTTGTTGGTTACTGCATAACATGGGGGCAGGTAACAGTGTCCTTGTTTTTCTACACAGAGAGAGGCCCATGGGCTTTAGGGCACCTCCCTCTCCAGGACACAAATGAGCAGAAATATGTCACCTTGTGTATGCTCATCTGTTGAGATGATACTTCCTATCTTGGTCACATACTCTGGAGCATGGATTAGCCACAAGCCCTATACAAATCTATCTGATCAAAAGATTCAGGGAAGATAGAGCAATGGGAATAAGAAAGGGTGAAGCAGATAATCTTATGTGGCAAACATAGAATCAAATTCTCTACTCATAGTCCAAGATGCCTCGTTTGGTCCACTGATTTTCTTCTTAACTTCCAAGTCACCCAGCCAACTGGAAGACCACAACAGGTAGAGCATGATTAACTATCAAAGCACACATGTGCAAGTAGGTGTGTGTGCATGTGCATGCGTGTGTGTGTGTGTGTGTGTGTGTGTGTGTGTGTAGCAGGAAAGTAGAAGCTGGGCATTACCAGAGCCTGTACGGGCCACTGACAAAAGGGCCCCATCCTGGGGCTTTTGGGGAAATACTGCTGGGGCAGGCCGTTTGTCTTTTCTGCTCATCTGGAGAACACTTTTAAAACACCAGCAAGTTAAAAAAAATTTTTTTAATGCTCTTTATGTAGACCTCCTGGACGCTTTTTCTTCTGTTCCCTCCAAAATGGTTATGACTTCTGTATGACACTATTTTCCTTTAATAACAAAACTACACAGAAGGCTCACAAAACAATGGTTGACAGTGCAGCCTCTTCAATATTCTACACAGCCCCTGCTAAGGCACCTGACACTGATTTTCATATCACTGGCATTTGGCCTAAAATTCTCACCATGTGTATCGACCCATCCCTGACATATGCCCCACATACTATGTGACCATCTACTACTTGTGGACGATTCACCTTCTGAGAGACCCGCGGGCCCTCGCTTCACTTTCAGCCATGACCGGGGGCTTGGTATCACGCAGGTGGCCCAAGGCAGGTTTAGAGTTCATCATGTTTAGCCTCCTGGTCTTTGAGTTTGAATTCCTCTGCCGTGACCTTCCCATCTCCATTCCGGTCCTGGTTGGTGAACATATTCTTCACAATCATCTCAGCATCAAAACCAGGAGCGAGTTTCCCTTTGCCAGATGCCACCTGGGCATGAATGTATTCTGAGAACTGGAAAGAGAGGGGACAGGACAGACCATGAGATACAACAGCCGAGCCAGGGTCTGAACAGAGCGTCCCGAGGGCAATGGGGCTGGAATTTGAGTCTAAGCTTGCAAAACAGACACAATTTTGTGAGCTACACAACCTGCCTGATGTTTCTCCCTCCAGATGCAGGTGTATAACCGTAATGACTAATGACTCCAGAAGTTCCTAGGCTCCACGCAGCAGTGACTGGAGCTATCCCTTCTCCCTAAATCAACACTTAGCTCTCCACCACAGGCTGATGCCCTAACCATCTTTGCCTCTGAGAACACTGCTGCCTCCCTCCCTCCCTCCCTTCTTTCCTTCATACAATGAAAACATAACCTTGCCCTTGTAATTCTAGCATATATCCTAGTGGGAAAGACACACAATTAGAAAAGAACATAAAAAATTAAGTAAGTCACATATTAAGTTCAAAAGTGCAATGCTCCAGAAAACAAAGGAGTAGAGTCAAGTAAGGAGGATCAAGAGTACAGGTCGGGGAGTGGGTTGAGGTCTCAATCCAGTGGTCAGAGTAAAACCCTAATGAAAAAGGGAGACCTGTGCAAAGGCTTGAAGGAAGGGAGGGAATGAACCAAACAGTTATCCAGGGAAGTGTCTTCTGGGTGGAGGGACAGCTGGTGCAAAGGCCCAGCGTGTGCAATGCCTGGTAGAGAGGAGCAGCTGAAGAGGAAGTTACAGCGAGCAGGTCGTGGAGAACCTTCTTGGGGTCTTTGCAGGCCACTGTAAGGACTCTGGAAACAGAGGGGCTTCTGCAGGGTTCTGAGACAAAGCAAGCCATAATCCAATTGAAGTTTCAGAAGAATCACTCCGGCTGCCGTGAGGGGCAAGGCTGAAAAGCACAAAGACCTTCGTAGAGGTCCAAGCAAGACCAAGCAGACAGTGGCCCAAGATGCTACCAACTGGAGGTGGTGAGATGTAAATTTTCAGGATAGAGCTAGGATGATTTCCTGGTGGGTTTACTATAGCCTATGTGAGAAAGAGAGGAGTCAAAGATTACTGAGTGCTCTCACCTGGCAACTGGAAGGACGGAGTTGACATCAGAGGAGATGAGGAAGGCTTTGGGTGAGGCAAGTTCAGGAGAGGGAGGTAGCAGCAGCATTCAAAAAATGAAGATGTCAGGTGGGCAATTAGATGTCTGAGTAGGAGGTAGAGAGAGAAGACCAGACCAGAGCTACAAGTTTGGAAGTCATGGCATGCGGATGACAAAGCCACTGGACTGGTTGAGATCACCAAGGGAGTGACATGAGATGGAGGAGAGAACAAGCTCAGAACTCAGGCTGGGGACACTCCAACATGAAGAGAGGGAGAAGATTCCTGAGAAGGAGCCACTAGTGAGGTAGAAGGAACACCAAGAAAGTGTGGTCTGGAAGCGAGGGAAAGAAGGTGTCCTGCAAAGCAGTCAGCTGTGTCCAAGAGTGAGGACAGTGAGCAGTGACCATTGGCGGCAGCCACATAAAAGGCACTGGTCACCTTAGCAAGACCAGGCTCAGTGACACAGAAGGACAAATGTCTGACAGGAGTGGATTTAAAGGTTTTGACATTTTCGCTGTAAAGGGAGCAAAGAAACAAAATAAATGAGAAGATGCACCAAGAAAAGGGAAAATAATAGCATGTTTTTATGCTAATGTGAGCAATCCAGTAGCCAGGGAAATGTGGCTGATGTAAGAGAGAAAGGGGAGAAGGCTGGAGCCGTGTCCTTGAATAAGCAGATGTGGAACAGGCAGATACTGGAACTGAGGAGGGTGTGACAGGACAGCCGACTCTATTCTCCAGCTCCATGAAGGGGTGTCTGCTACAGAAGAATCCACCCAGGACCTAGATGATCAAGATGGAGATATGTACCATGGCTCAAACCACTAGGTAGCTCTGTGACCTCGGGCAAATCATTTATCTCGTCTGCGTACAGCTGCTGCTTCTGAAAAACGGGGATGATGATTACATGGCTGCCACAAGGGCCAAGCAAGAGAATGTATATGAAAAACATTCAACATAATGCAGGCATACAGTGAGCACCCAGGAACTGAGAACCAAATCTAGATCTGTCAGCCCTGGGATCAAGCCCTGTACCTCTCAGGGCCTCAGTTTCTCCAGAGAGCAACTGTGAGCTTCAATTTAGAGAGTGTGTACAAAAGTGCGTCCTCCTCACTCTGAGAAGGCTTCACATCTGGAATGGATCCCCTGCCCCAATAAGGCTCCCCCCAGTTCATTTAGTCCCACTCTCTTTTGAAGGTCGGTTACCTCTTCGAGGAGGACTTCTCCATCACCATCCTTGTCGATTTCTTCGAACAGGTTGGGTGACACCTCGCCATTCCATATGAACATGTACCCCTCAGGCAGACCCGCCACGAGCTCCAGCAGCTCAATGTCAAACACCAAGACGGCACTGCCAGGTACTTCTCCATCTGTCTCACCAATAAGGGAGGAAACAGGGTTAGCACCACCAGGCAGCAGGCATGCCCATCTCAACCTCCCTCCCCCACCCAAGGTTCCAGCTGCCTCACAGGTGGCAAGCATTTCCTGCTCAACACCAGGGGCACCTGAGTGTCTCAGTCAGTTAAGCATCCAACTCTTGATTTCAGCTCAGGTCATGATTTCAGGGTAGTAGGATCGAGCTGCTTGGGATTCTCTGTCTCCTTCTCTCTCTGCCCCTCCCCTGCTCGTGCTCTAAATAAATAAACAAACAAACTAACTAAAAAAAAAAACAAAAAATTCAAATAATCCAGTGAAGAAATGGGCAAAAGACATGAATAGACACTCTCCAAAGAAGACATCCTGATGGCTAACAGACTATAATATAAACAGATGTTCAACATCATTTATCATCAGGGAAATACAAATTAAATCACAATGAGATACCACCTCACACCTGTCAGAATGGCTAACATGAACAACTCAGGCAACAACAGGTGTTGGCAAGGATGCAGAGAAAGAGGATCTCTTTTGCATTGTTAGTGGGAATGCAAGCTGGTGCGGCCACTCTGGAAAACAGTATGGATGTTCCTCAAAAAACTAAAAACAGAACTACCCCACGACCCAGCAATTGCACTACTAGGTATTTATCCAAGGGATACAGGTGTGCTGTTT